GGGGCAGGTGGGGATCGAACTCATGCGCAAGTGGCTTTTGCTTCTTACTGCTGTGCTTTAACCCGCTGCACCACCAGGGAGGGCCCGCAAATTTGTTTTTTAAAAATCCTTCTTGTAATTCTGATACTTGAGAATGACCTCTGTTTTTAGGCAGTGCTGTCCAGTGGGAAACATAGAAATTGCAAACAGCTATAACTACATTAACCATATTAAGTAAAAACTGAAATTTCTTTATTTAGCATATGGAAATATTTTTAGCATGCTACTAATATAAAAATAATTGAATCTACATTCTTTTTGTATGCTAAGTTTTAAAAATCTACTGTATATTAACACAGCTTATCTCAAATTTCAACTAGCCACATTTCAAATTCTAGTGGTTACTGTTCTTGACAGTGCTGTTTTAAAATAACAGAAAATAGCTGTTTTTGTCTTTTTCTAAACTGTAAAATGCAAAGTTTAAATTGTAAATTAAAAAAAAAAAACATGTTATATTGGTCATGAACACATTTGCCATAGGAAAAATGTCACCATGGTAGTTGATCTCAAGGCTTTTCAAACTGGTAAGTTTCAGATCAACTGTTGAATTCAATATTTGTTGAATACTTGTTATACCTTGCTGTATTTTTTTCAGACTGTTACCTATAGTGAATCTTCAAAAAGTCAGTCTCTGGAACTAAGTTTAAATATAGTTAAGTGTGGGGAGTTATTTCTAATTGTAAAAATGAATATATGTGAACTTATATTCATGCGATGAAGAGTTGGATAATTTTAGTTTATGAATGCTTAGTAGGGTTTTGTTTCCTGCCTTTGTTTTTCCTGTCACTCAATAACTCAGACTAAGAACAGTGGTTTTTTTGTTCTGTGCTTTTTTTATATAATAGCTAACTAACCCTTAGCCAGCCATATAAGAGGAACTAAATACTGATTTTGCTTAATGCTTCTTTCTATAAGAAGGAAATGATGATTTTTAATTTAGCTAAATATACCTTATTTTAAAAAAGTTAAACTGCAAGCAGTGTTGCTCAAATATTATTAAAACAATTGGGAATTTGGAAGAGGAAAAAAATCCACTTACCAAAGTAAAACATAAATGAACTTAGTTCTCCTGTTTGTTTATAAAAGTGAGAAGACTGTAAGCAGAATTAAGGTTTCTCAGACCTTTTCATGTGACAAACTTTCTTGGTGATGAAACAATAAAAGGGATATAAAAAGATGAGTGGGAAGAAAATATTGGTAGCAAATACAGCAAAAGCTAATCAAAGCTGATACAACTTACAAAGAGAGAGAAAGCAAAATTTTTTATCAATCAAGTAATTAACATGTAAAATAATACTTTTCCTTTACCTGAGACTCAAACACTCATTTCTACCAAGAGTGTGGAGAAATATTCTTTTATATTTATACAATAGATTGGTAGTAAATATGAGAAACTGTCAAACTGTTTATAATTAACTTTTGAGAATCCTTGTTAGGTATACTTTTTGAAATATAGGGAAATTTTCATGAATAAAGATTATTTTGACAGCCATTACTTTTGTAGTTTTTTCAGCTTTTAGTGTTTTTGTAGTGATTTAATCTGTGGCATCTCTAATAATTTACACAAAATTTTTGTTTGGCATGTTGAAATTAAACCTCTCTGAGATCTAAAAGTTTACTCTGTTAACAGAGAAACTGTTTTACGATTTTGATAAATAACTTTTTTGTTTTTAAGCCCAGGCCATTCAGTCCACCTGTAACTTCCAGTACCAGTCCACCTCCTGCTGCGCCTTTAGCCCGGGCAGAAAGTTCTTCCTCTATTTCATCTTCTGCTTCACTGAGTGCTGCCAATACTCCAACAGTAGGTAAGTGATTATCACTGATTAAATGTGAAAATTAGCATCCAGTGTATTATTATTTAGGTGGTTTGGTTTCCTTTTCGTTTGTCTTTGTTTTTATTAATGGCCAGTAAAGATTTTAACATTTGAAATTTTGCTTTCTGGAAAGGCACGTTGGCATTGTCACACTACCTACAATTTCCTTTTCTAATTCTCAGTTTATATTATGTGAATGGTATAATTTTAAGTATGGTTAGCATTGTTACGAATGCTTTAAATTTACAAACTATTGACCAACATGTAGTTGAAGGCAAAATACAATGTTGCTCTTTACACTGCATTGAATACTGATAATTGCATTCCTAATGAAATTTGGGTTTATAAATAAATAATTAAAGGATTTTATGCTTGCTATGATTTTTTTTTTTTACAAGAGTTTAATCAAAGATTTAAAGGTTGATACTAGAGACTAGCTGTATAATTCTAATTGTTAATCTGAAACTCACTGGATTACCTGGAATTTTTATTTTATCTAGATTTTGCCTGAATTTGTCTTTTTTTTTTTTAAAGGACAAGCTTATTAGGAAAAAGGGGCACCAACATAGTCCCAGGTGGACAAGAGAGCCGCCTGTCATCTTTACCCAATTTTTCTTACAAAATCTTGTTACTTTTCTTGCTCACTCACTGTTAGTAATAAACAGCACAAAGTCACTTTAAAAATTTGTATTTCAGGAGCAGCAGCTTTTTATCAAAATTATAACAATCCCCATTGTTGTGACCTTTAAGGAGTAATGGGTTTATTCTTGATAATGCAAATCACTGATTTTCACTGAATATAATTTAGTAGTGTTCAAATTGTGGTCTTTGAATTTGTAGCATCCATTTGCATCACTTGGACACTTAATAGACATGCAGACCTTGTAAATCAGAAGCTCTGGGGTAGGGACTAGCAATCCTTGAACAATCTTTGAATCTTTCCAGATGATTCCAAGTTGGAGAATCATAGCCCCAAATTAGACTGATTTAATTATATAAAATTTGATAAAGCTCAAATAGAAGTGCTACAGTTGTGTATGTGTAGGCATTGTAAAAGTGGCACCACTAATGCTGAAAAGACATAAAAATAAATTTCTGAATGCAAATGTCATTTTATATACTTTTGTGGACATAGGTTCTTCCCCATATTGTTTACTTTTTTTTTTTTTAAAGATATATTTATTTGCGCATACAGAACTGGGATACAGGCCAGAGGCTCAGGGGCAGCGAGAGGCTTCACCAGAGACAGAGTGGGGAGCCGAACAGACTGAAATACACTGAGGAGAGGTCTGCCACGCCATGTGGTCACCTCCGGGGCAGGCGGGAATCGAACTCATGCGGAGTTCGATTAGTGCAGTGCTTTAACCCGCTGTGCCACCAGGGAGGGCCCATATTCTGTGTACTTTATGTATGTAAACAGAATATATTCAACGCTTGTCTTTTTGTTGTTGTAATGAATAATCTTACTTTTTGTTTTTAAGTATGGTTTTTAAATTTTTGTTCCTGTACAGCATTTTAGACACAAGAGCATAGATACATCCTATGAGAAATCAGTTAGGTGATCTGATAACCAAAATGAAAAGGGGGACCAAAGTAAACTTCAGTTGTTTTCCATTATCTAGATTATTTGGAAGGTTTTCTATTTGTGATGGGGACTTTAATTTTGATTGAGTTGGAACATACTTGATTTTAGCTTAAGCCAGGCTGGCAATAGGAGAACGAACCACAAGGAGGTGACAGTAATACAGGAAGGTAGGATGTGTGTGATTTATATACAATTAACTCTTTAAATCTACCTTAAAAGTTCTCTATTGTGATGCTTATTCAGCTCTTTTTAGATTTAAATTTTTGATTGTTTCTTGAAAATATTTTCCTGCAATGTTTTGTTTTATTTAAATATGATAGAAGATGATAATTTGATTGGGACACTCTCTGAAATTGAAAAGCACTGTGAGACTTCACAAGGTATTGTATCAACAGTAAATCTATGTGTTGACTAATGATCCTAAAGTGTATCTAAAATACTTTTATCTAATTTTTCTTTTTCCAGCAATGTATGGTGTCTCAGAAATCAAGAATAACTCTTAAAGTTTAACTATCTCAATTTTGTACTAATTATATGTTCAGCTGCTGTATAGAGGCTCTTGATATCCAATCCCCAGTTATGAAAGCACACATTCTTTTTAATATCCTTCATCTCTTTGCTCTTCTGTCTTCAACATTAGTAAGTCTTAATGCTACCAGAATCAGAGAAAAGTGATTAGAAAAGCAGAACAAACTCTCAAAGCAAAAGCTGTCATACAAAAACCATACATATAGTGAACTTAAGTTCCAGGTAGACAGGTAGCAAAGAGTTGGGAGTGAGTGGTTTTTTCCTGAGCTGAAAGGAATCCATAAAAAACAGTGATTGTCACAGGAGGGTACCCCTTACTTACCTTAACTTGATAAGCTCTCTGCATTTTTATAACAAAAACATTTAAATATGGAACAACTAAACCAAAATCAGAATGCATATGTATCTTACAAAAAATAAAAGGGATTTATTTGTAAAAAGTTGGGCCTCCCTGGTGGCTCAGGGTTTAAAGTCTAAGTGCTACTTAGCGATCACCAACCACTGCAGCATGATTTCTATCCCAGGCCTGAGAGTTAGCCCACATGTCACAGCAGACTTATTTTGTCTCCCCTGCTGCTCTCCTCAGTATATTTCAATAGAGCTGCCTATTCTGCTCCCCTACCTCCACTGTTTCTGGTGAATTCTCTCACTCCCTTTGCCTCTGGCCTACACCCCAGTTATTGTATGCATAAAGAAAAATTACTCTGAAAAACAGTATAAATTTAGACTTTGGGGGACTTAATGTACATATCTTCCTATGTCAAAACATTTCTTTGAAGTATATTCATGTGCAGTATGATCTTAAATAGATAACACGAGAGGAAGTATGCCAAAATGTTAGGTGGATTTTGAGAATTTTTAAACTACTTTTTAATACTTTTCTCTACTTGCCATATTTTGGTAATGGGCATAATTGTTTACAAGAAAACTATTTCAAGAATTCTCATTTATGTACTCAAATTGGGTAGTTTCAATTAGAATAACTGTAGATTTCTTTTTAATGGCCGAGCAGTAGCAAACATTATCTATGACTATAGGTAAATATCAGTTTTTATAGATTAAAATGTAAAAGGAGAGACTAATTTCATATTTGAGAACATAATTATTTTAAGATTGACTTTATTTATGCATACAAGGGGTGGGATGTAGGCCAGAGGTGGGGGGGAAGGTGGTAAGAAGAGTCACCAGAGACAGAGTGGGGAGCCGAACAGACTGAAATACACTGCTGAGGGGAGCAGCAGGCAAGGTGGAGAGGTCTGCTGCACTATGTGGGTCAGCTCCCTGGCCGGGATCAAACTCGTGCTGTAGTGGCTGCTGGTAGGAGGTCCAAGAACATAATTTTTGTAAAGATTTATTTATGCATACAGAATTGGGGTATAGGCAAGAGTTGCAGAGTGTGAAAGGATTCACCAGAGACAGAATAGGAAGCAGAACAGGCAAATGTACTGAAATACACTGCTGAGGGGGAGCAGTGGGCATGTCAGGAGCGGTCTGCCATGCCATGTGGGGTCACCCTGGGGCGGGCATTGAACTCATGCTACAGTGGCTGTTATAGCTTCATAGTGCTGTGCTTAACCCACTGTGCCACCAGAGAAGGCCCCCCAAGAATATAATATTTTAATAAAAAGATCACTATGCCTTTAATATTTCTCTGAAAATGAGCTCCTGAATTTCTGGTGTTTTCCCAGTGCAAACATGTATCTACATACATGTTTTGTAGCTTGCATCTTGTAATCAATAAACTTTTAATACCTACATAGCTGAAAGTACTACTACTTGATCAAACCCCTGTCTTTCACTTAATCATCTCTCAACATGATCTAACAGTGATCTTTCTCTTTAGTTTAGGTCCCAGTTAGTGTTAAGTGATCTTACTAAATGAAAAAGTTATGTTTATCTTAAATATTTTTAGTGGTAAAGCATAAAGGTTCTCTACATCCTCGCCTGGATCACAAACATTTCTCTAGGCCCATCTTCATGTCCTTTTACCCTCCCTCAGTCACAGAGTATGTACCTGTTTGCAAAATTATTTGTGATTCAGAAAAACCTTTTTTTGAGCTTTATTAAGAAAGTATCTGGCACATGTTAGTAATTAGTAGCTATTGTGATCTTGTGAATAAGTTTTCATATTGAATTTTTTTAATTTTATATGAAATGTGTCTATTATGGGGAGGGGGGAGAGGGAAGAGGGTACTTTATTTAATAGCCTAGAAGCAACAGTTCTTATATTTTTCAGGTATTATCAATCACTGAGCAATTTTTCTAACAAATCAAAGTTCCTTTAAAGTGTCAGATACCACAAAATCATCTCACTGTTTACAGAATCTAATGTATAGTTGTGAAACAGTGAAAGCCAGTATGATTAAATTTCTAGGTATTTAAAAATAACTTAGTCTTTCACTGTGATGACATATGAAGTGAAAATATGATGGCTGTGAACATTATACACTAACATAACAGTCACATTAACCTAGGTTTTTCTTTTAATAATGAATAAACATAATTAACTATCCTGTTACAAAATTGCATCATTTATTGTATGTTACATGAAATGCTCTACTTCAGTCATGTGAAGAAGTGATTGTGAAGAAAATGGCAGTGCACTATTTTGAATTTTTTTTATGAAGTAAACCAGATGTTTTGTTTAAAACTCTGGAGCTATGCATAAATTTGTTTACCTTTATTGTAGTTTGATTCTAAAGATGCGTTATCTGACTGAACTTTGCTAGGAATACTACAGAAAATGATGCAAACAGGGTAATGTGTGGGAATATAATAAATGCCAAAGATGAGCCAAAAGAATTGACACAGTGAGCAGTGAATGAACCATTGTACTATTCTTTAGAAATAAACAATGAATACCAGTAACTATACAAAAGCTAAGTTTATGCCAAGGTAGAATCTGAAAAAAAATTAGTAAAATGTATTTTGGAAGAAAATTTTAGTAATATATTTAATGGTGAAGGACATTTTCCCCCTGACATTTCTTAACTCAACCCGTCTGTGTCGTTGCATTTCAAAGAAGTCAATGTGATATTTTCCTGTTATATAAAATTTTTTGTCTTTTGTATTAAGTTCCAATTTGTTTTATGCTATATTTCTTAACCTCCAGATTTATACTTAGGGGCATCATTGAAACCAGTTAAGTTGTTTGTGGCAAGCTAACAATGTGAATTTGTCCAGAAGTTCAGTGTCTTCCTGTGGTATTTAACAAGTGAATTATGTGTATTCTAGGTGTGTCACGAGGCCCCAGCCCTGTCAGCCTTGGAAATCAGGATACCTTACCTGTGGCAGTTGCTCTTACAGAATCTGTTAATGCCTACTTTAGAGGAGCAGATCCCACCAAGTTAGTTTTAAAAAGATATACATATTGGTGGGGGGTGGGCAGTGTGGTAAAGTTAGATACTGTGTGGGTTAAGGTTTTCTATCTGCTTTTTGTTGCTATTAAATGTAGTTCTTAGGGGTAACTTCTCAAATTTTAAAAAGCACTATAGAATAAACAGTTGTAATAGTTTTCCCTCCAGTTTATTTACATTATTGTCCGACTGTTATTACCAGTTTGACATATCTGTTCTTTGATTTATCTGTAGCTCAGGATGAGGGTGATACTAAATTTTGTGTATCTTTAATATAAAATGTATCTGTAGTATAGTTTGCAAGACAGATCTTATTTGAGACTGTCGGAATTTCTCAGAAAATGATAGTGGGGTGAATGACCCATATTTTTCCTATGTATTCAAAATCCATTTTACTTATTGATTATTTGAATTTACTGTTTTGTAACACTCCTTACAAACTTGCATTATAAGAAGTGATTTTTTTTTTCCACTAAAATAGTCTCAGCATTTGTAACAGTCCTTTACAACCTAAGCATGCAAATATTTGATGAATGTGTGTTAATACTTGAAAAGTAGGGGTATCGGTATGAAGGAAACAAACGCAAGGGTAAGAAGGTGAAGAATTACAACAGAGTGCTATTATTTTAGATAAAAATGAACAGAATAATTTAATTTAACCAGGTGTTTGAAAAACACTGGGAAGCAATCCATGTAGATCTGAGGGAAGAATATACTGGCAAGAAACTGAGGTAGAAACATGCTTGTCATACTCAAGAAATAGCAAGAACCATGTCTCAAGTAGGAGTAAATAGGAAGAAAGAAGTCAAAGATAAGACTTTCAAGGAGAAACAGATGAGATTAGGTATTGTAGACCATAAGAAGTTTGGTTTTTATTTTAAAGTACACAGGAAGCCACTGGAGGCTTTTGAGCAGAGAAATGACGACCACTGTTTTTGAAGGTGCACTCTGGCATTTGTGTTTAGAGTTTAATTCTAGGAAAAGCTAATGGTAGATGAGTATTGTTTCATGAAGAACCTTTATGTATGCTTAAATTGAAAAATAATTTATAATTATGATAAAAGATGTATATGTGCACATGATTTTTAAATCAAAGATGCTTTATATGGAGATTAAAAGTATACTACTGAATTTTTTTTAAACCTCTAATTTCAGGTGTATTGTGAAGATCACTGGTGATATGACAATATCATTTCCAAGTGGAATTATTAAAGTCTTCACTAGCAATCCATCTCCAGCTGTGCTGTGCTTCAGGGTGAAAAATATCAGCAGGCTAGAGCAAATTCTTCCAAATGCGCAACTTGTGTTTAGGTTTGTATATTATTCTCAAGGTGAAATATTTTTTTGAATTTTTCTTTCCTGAAGCAACACATTTCAATTTGAAAACAATACCAAATTATAACAGCTTTCTGCTGCCTTTTGTTTTAATAGTCATGGTAGTATCGTTATTGTTAAATCTCTCATCTTTCAATCAAACTTCAAGAGCTGTGTTCCTTTATCTCCTTAATTTAAGTTTTCCCCATTTTTTTGGTTCATTTCCACTTGTCTTTCCATGGTATCAAATAACTCTATAGAAGCAAGGATAAAGATAAGTCAAATAAAAACAAATATTTCTTCTACATACAGTGACCCATCACAGTGTGATTCTAACACAAAGGATTTTTGGATGAACATGCAAGCTGTTACTATCTACCTCAAGAAGCTATCAGAGCAAAATCCAGCTGCTTCTTATTATAATGTAGATGTGTTAAAGTATCAGGTAAGTGTCATGTCATTATAAAATATTAAAGTATTAACAAAATAGAATTTTGCAAATCAGAAAATCTCTTAATAAACCTCTGGAGATTATGACCACTTTGATCAAAGGTGCCATATATTTATTCCTGATTAAAATGCTGAGTAAATATAAAACGAAAGGCCACAGCATCATTATTAGTAATATAACTGCTATAACTGTCACAGCAGGAACAAGTGAAATGGTCTTTATTAGTATCTAAGATTCTTCTGAATGGCTTAGAACAGTTAGACAATAAAGATTAAATATTGGAAAGGAAGAACCAACTTAAGCTATAATATATGTGTGTGTATGTGTGTATATAGCTTACAAAGTAAACCAGCTAAAATAGCTCTCAAACAGCCAAGTATAGGAAAACTGATGAATATTTACAGTAAAACTAGTTATGGAAAATTTTAAAAATGGCCCCAATTAATAACATTAAATGTATCAAATAGCAAAAAGGTTTTGCTCTTTCTACATCTAATTTCATTTAAGTAAAATGTTGCCTTTGTTACATTAACTTGACCCACTTGAATATAGTTAAAAAGGTAGACACTATTCATAAAGATTCATGTAAAAAGCTTCCCTGTTTCTAAATTAAGTTTATTGGATTTCTGGCTGAGATTAGAGGTGTGTGGATATTTGTCTTGAGGCTCGGCATTCATTTTCAAGCTTTCTGAAAAACAGAATTTGGACAGATAAATGCTTCCAGCACTATGGAATGGCAATTTACTTTTAACAGGAAATGTATTAGGTGACAGTATTTAATTTGAAACTATTATGCCAATAGAAAATTATGTAACAATATATATATAGCATTTAACACTTTTCTATAGATTGTTTTAGGAAAATTAAGCTGAAACTCACTCTCACATTTATCCAGAATAAACCTACATTATCAAAGGTTTCATAATGATGAATGAAACTATAGAGATAACAAAGATAAATCATAGGTAAATATGTACATGAACCCAAGCACTTGGAGAGTAAGATATTTGGCAAAAATGAGTAAGTGTATAAAATACTTTGTTAAAACAACCTTTTAACAAATTGTTTAATCTGTGGGAAATATTTGTAATATGATTGATCAAAAGACTTCCTTTAAAGAGCCCTTACAACAATGAATAGTTTCAACCCACTAATTGGACATAAATGAAAAATTCTATGAGGTATGACTACATGTTAATAGAATCTCTTCTAGTATAGTTCTATAAGATTGCTGAATAGTTTGTTAAATTCAGGAATTCTGCTTTGAGAAGTAAGGCAGACTATTCACTTTAGCATTGTTTGTTTGGAGACCACCTAAGTGCATATCTAGAGGAAGAGATTGATTAAGTAACTATAATAGCCTAAGAAAGAGATGGATCCCTATTTGTATGTGCCTAACATGTTTGGACAGAATATATACCAAAATCCAAGCAGGGAATAAAGATGACAAGGGTGAATTTCCCATTTTGTATGCTTATGTACTACTTGAATTTCTGTTAGAGTAACTAAAATAGGGTTCTTAGGGTTTCTAAAAAATAAAAGTACTATCAGAGTTCATTTATTCAGCAGACATTCAATATTTGTAAATTGGTTAGAAAGTTAAGTGGTATTGAGAAAGGAAAAAAGTATAGACTATATGGTAAAGATTCAATGCAAATGAAATCATGATCTCACTGAAATCTTTGAAGCAATAAACTGAAGCATTGAAAGGATTTGTGAGTCATGGGGTTAAAATTAAACATTTGAAGTTGGAAATATTCTAATTAAAAGCTTGCAGAACAGTATGGGTTGCCTATCCTTTTAAAACCTAAATTCTTATAATTAATAATCTAGAATTTTATCAATATGTTGAAAGGTATTTAAACATTACATGCAAAAAGAAATAACCTGGTAACATCCTGATTTCTGGGCCTTATTCCATCTAGGTTGTATTTTTCTGCATTTGGAGCCATGGACTATGCATTTTAAACAAGTACCACAGAGATTTTGATGTAGTTAGTCCTTTAAGAGTGTGTACACTGAATGTCTGCCGAACAAATGAACCTTGGAAGTCAAGTGAGAGTACTTTTTTTTAGGGTTGTTAGGGTTTCATTTAGTTCTGTGTTCAAGTATACATGTCATTAATTTGATTTTTACTTTTACCAAAGTGAATTGTCTGTTTTTGTTTTTTTTTTCTCTTAAAGGTATCATCAAATGGTATTCACTCTACTCCTTTAAATCTTGCAACATACTGGAAATGTACTACTGGCACTACAGACCTTAGAGTGGATTACAAGTATAACCCAGGAGCTATGGCAGCCCCAAATACGCTTTCCAATATACAGGTGGCTGTGCCAGTGGGTGGAGGAGTCACGAACATGCAGTCCATCCCACCTGCAATATGGTAATTAAGTAGATTTGAGTTTCTGCTAATTTTCTATTGCAAATCCCCCCCTCCCACTTTTAAAACCTAAGTTCTGAAAGGTTGAAATTTTGCTTTCCCATAGAAACTATGCTACAAAAGATGCTACTCATTTTACCTGTTAAGCCACAGTAGCCTCATTCCAAAGTAAACAAAACTGGTTTTGCTGTCACAACCCAGACTTGAATAACTCAGCTAAGTTTTAGAAAATAAGGATATTATTTTACGGTTTTAATAGAGCATCTGACAGACCTTTTAATTACCTCTTTTGTCTTCTCAAACTATCCACTTTATTTCCTTCACCATTCAATTAAGTGTTTTACTGAGTGATGAAGGGTACATTTGTTTTTCTTTTTCTAACCAATAGAAATGAGAATTACATAATTTAGTACAATGAGCAGTATAACTTTTTATTGGTTTACCAACCTGATTGTCTGTTATTAGACAGTCTGAAGAGATTTCTTTTTATAGGAATGCAGAACAGATGAAAGCTTTCTGGAAATTGTCTGGAATTTCAGAAAAGTCAGAAAATGGAGGTGAGTGTATACATGCATGTGATAGTTTCTTCTTGGAATTTCATGCCTTCAGTTTTAGAACTGACCACTAGGTGGAAGTTAAGACCTTAACCATGAATAGACCAAAACTGAACTGAGGTAGCAGCTCTACGCTTGTTACAGTGTCACAGGATTGAGTTATATGTAACATTCTTGATTGAATATTAGGTAAAGCAAAATATTCTTTTTCTTATAAAGCATAAAGAAATAGGTCTATCAGTTTTAGTTCATTGTTAGTGGAGTCCTTTTCTAAGTCTGCACCTGTTTGTGTAAGTAAAATCAATTTGTATTTCTCTTATTGAAGAGAATTTCTTTGCCTAATCTAACCTGCAATGTTTCAAATTTTGCTCAGCTTTTTCTTTTTGTATACTTTTAGGCACCATGTGATCAAAACATTAGCTTTTCTGTGTTAACTATTATATCTGCCTTGCTGAATCAGGCTTGAACTATTATACCATATAGTGGATGAAGTAAGGCAATTCTGTAGTTCCTTTGTAGATACTTAAATGTCCTGTTTGAAGTGACTATTTAAAACCAGTTAGCAAGGAAGAAAAGCTGTGGTTTTCTACTGTTTAATCAATCAGATTATGTAAAATACCAAGGGTACTTGGTATTTTCTAGCTAGGTATTTTAATAGTTCCCTCTGCTTTTCAGGTATCAGTACATGTATAAGGACATGGAAATGTCTTTGTGGCTCTGATTTGGTTAGTCAACATTTAAGATATATCTAACTTAGTATACTATAAAATAGTAATCTGCTTCTATTCTGGCTTTATGCCCAGAAAGGATCAGAAAATAGTTGTAAAGTTTAAGACTTGCTGAGGTAGCAGCTCTTGGCCTATTACTACTTTCACAGAATTGAATTATATGTCAAAAATCATAGAAGTTAGAATGGTTAATCTTCCCTAATGATCTGTGCTGTGAGACACAACATAGGATGTACCTATGGTTAGGTACCTTCCTCCAGATTTCTCTCTATAGTATTAAATTTCTGTACAGGGAACCACAGAACATTCCTGCTACTCAGCAATTCTGTCTACTTTTTCCCCCCCTTATAATAATTTATTAGATACAGAATTTATAGTTCCAAGAACATGCACATATTTGAATTTGCTATGATCTATCAGGCAGGACTGCTATTCAGTTAATGCATCAGGATATAGCACCTTTATCACCCATTGGTTCTAACTCTTAAATATCTTTCAAATATTTCCTCTCCCTTAACCTAGTTCTGTCACCAGAACCCACCACTATTTTATCGACTTTCATTTGATCTCCTTACCCTGCATCTTGTTACTCTTTACCTTCTAATACTCTCGTGTAAATGTTTTTGTTCTCCTTATCCTCTGGTGGCTCCCTGTGGGTCTGACATACGTTTCTTACAGCAGGTAAAGATATTTAGTCCTACTAAATATTTACTTCTAGTCCTCTACTTATATCCTATTACATTTGACATATAGATGTTGTAACCATTTTGTGAAATAACACACCATCACCCATTATGTGCTTTTGTGCCTATAGCTTCTGAGATCTCTATTACAGCATCTGTTAGTTATTTGGCTTACTATTTATGCCATGTTATTAGACTGAGGTATGTGGAATAAAGATTCTATCAAAAAGAAACCACCACAAGTATCTATTTGGGTGAATAGAAAATTGAAATGTTGACACAGCTCTTTTCAGTATTAGCTATCTCCTTCTTCTCATTATTTGACTTTGTTCCTACTCATATCCCTCAACCCTGGGGCTTCCCTCTGAGTTGTCCTTCAGTGACATCCTTTTTACACACACTCATGATTTGGAAACAGGACAATTCGTTTACTGTACACATTTGGCTTAGCACTGGTAGAATTTAGCTTACTTGGTCATTTGAAGTATATTTTGCCCTTTATAATCTTTCTTCTGTATAGGATCTGGATCCCTCAGAGCAAAATTTGATCTTTCAGAAGGACCGAGTAAACCTGCAACACTTGCAGTGCAATTCCTCAGTGAGGGAAGTACCCTCTCAGGAGTAGATATTGAACTTGTAGGCACTGGCTATAGGCTGTCCTTACTAAAGAAGCGGTTTGCCACTGGTAAGTTGAGAGATTTTCAACTTCTTAACATGTGGGAAAATTGTATGTTAAGTCAGGACACTTCTTGGTATAAGGTGCCAAGTAGAGAGAGACACCTGGGGGAGAGTTCCCATAGTCAATCTAGCTGAGCACCTGTAATCTGATGTATTGTAAACAGCAGATGGGAACTAGGTTTTGTGTCTGTAACCACAGTGAGAAGACCCTCCTGTGAGTTCATTTGTAATTGCAAAGTTCTGCTTGGTGTTTTTCAGGACGGTACCTGGCTGATTGTTGATGAGCCTGAACGTGGTTGGTTCAATGGGGGATAGTACAAACCTGCCATTCTGCATCATCTGTTTTTTCCCAAACACTATTTTAACTTGTATGTTTTTGAAATAGACATGTGTAAGAGAGGTGACTACAAACACTGAATTGCACTTTTGAAGTGAGTCATCAGATAGCACTGAAATGTTCAGAAAGTACATTTACTCACATTCTCAGTAAAATGAAGTTTTCATAAGCTGAAATTTTAAATTATTTTCAGTGTCTGTTAAAAGGGGTATAGTATGATATCAGGCCTAAAATTTCAGGAGAGCAAGCACAAAATTTAGCTTTCCATAAATTTTGGAATTAGCTTTAGATACAAGTAGGACATGAATTCTAAGTTTTAGATAATGTTAACTTAGAAATAATCAGAATGAATAACGTGCCATGAAAGTAATCAGCAGTGCCCAAGTTGTATGCAAAAAAATTTGAATCCTATATAAGCAAAGTGTAAATGGTGTTTTATAGTCTAAAAATTCTCAAGTGCAATGTGTTTTAAAATAAGCTTGCAAAAAAGACAGCAGAGAAATTTACTTCTGCAGTTTATAGAAGTGATTGTTTTTGATGAATTAATGCTGTAGAATTAATTTATTTTTATATGAATTGCATAATGTGTGCCTTTTAAAACAATAACAAAAACCAGAGATGTGCCTATCCAATTTGTGTTCATTAATGTGCCTCATTTTTTCTCAGTCTGTATCGTCTGTTTAGAATCTTTTGACTACAGTTAGAATTCAGAATAACAAAAAGATAATTTACTTACCAACCTTGGTTTACTTCTTTAGTGATTACACTGTAGACACTAGAAAAAAATATACCTAATGGGGGAAAAATACCTTTAGATATTCAACTTCATCAAAAGTATGTCAAATTCTGAAAAACTATAATGGTAAATTGATAACTGGTATTTTAACTCAATATTTCCTTTCACTGTTTATCACTGGAAATGTAGACACTTATTGAATATCTTGTGTGAGGAATACATTTTTGAAAAGATTAATTTTGCCATTAGAAGTACATTTTGTTTTGGTTTCTAAAAATTGAGATTTGAAGTTTGAATTGGGTAAAAGTTAATTTTAGCATAATTAACTAAAGGCATTATTTGAGAGTTTTATAATTTTCAAATGGGAGTTTTATTTATAAATACCCCTATCTTACATTTTTGCATACAAATGACAATTTTGTGTTATATATAGTAATTTATATAAAACCACTAATCTGTTAAGCTTTACAGAAAATCCCCCCTATTAGACATTTATATAACATCTTGCTTTTCCTAGATGCAGCGGATTATTCATTAGCAGTATATATAAGACAATGTGCTTTTTATGTATTCACTGTTATCCAATTCTAAATTTAGATTTGATTTCAGCAACACATAATTTGTTAGAATATTCATTTTTACTAAATAATAAAATTAGAATGCCTAACTCATATGTTGTGCTCTTTTATATGCCAATTACAGCCCCTTACTGGAATCTTAACTGAAACTGCTTTTACTGGGCAGTTAATATTTTATTATTGGAATTCAGACACCATTATATTCACCATGTTTGTTTTTAATCAAGTATTACCTTAAAAATATGTATGAAATTAGTGAAATGGTTAAACTTCTGCACTTTCTTATTTACCAGTCTTTATACCTTTATACAAAGTGTTGATAAATTTGGGTGCAGGTTACAATTTTGAAGCCATATGAGTTTATACTGATTTTTTTTCCATTTAAAAATCCACTAATGGTGTAAAAAAAACAGATTTTCAATGGGAAATGTATTTTAGCAAGCTGGTTCTTGCATATGTATAGTGATAAACTTTGTAGCCTTTAACTAAGACTTTGTAAACACAGAACTCTAACAAATGTGAGTTTTTAAGAATTGTTATTTACTACTTTGAGTAAATCTATCTTACAAAATTTTGTAAATATTTTTGATTTTTTCATAAATGTAAATTTTACATAAAGGTTGTACCCTTAATAAACATGTAATATATAATTTATTGATTGAGTTTCTGTGTCTCTATATTCCCATAAATGGTACTAGTTGCATCATAGACATTAGGACACGGTCAGTTAGGGAAGGAATGACTTTTTTTAGCAGAATATTTACTCCTGACCGGTTGGTTAGACAACAGTCTTAAAACAATATATAAAGCCTCTGAAAAGCCAGTCAACTTAGAAACATTTAAAAAGTTCTCTACATGAACCGGGTAACTTGTGAAAGGTAGGTTGCCCCCTTACTGCTTACACCATGTGTACATCTTTAAGAATGGATGATACAAAATGAAGTCATAAACAAGTCCATGGTCTCAGAAGCTTAACACAATAAAATATCATATGACTCACATTACAGTCCTACAGAGAGACTCAGGGACCCCATCTCCTTCCTTTGTGTGAGGCCACTCAAATTTGTATTTGACCAGCAGATGGGGAAAGAGAGCAGAGATTACCTGGGATTTTTTTATGGGTCAGTTACAGAATTGGAAGCATCCCTTTGCTCACTTTTCATTAGCCAGTGCTTGATCTGTGGTTCGAGCTCACTGCAAGGAAAGAGGGAAAATAGTTTGGTTGTGTGCCTAAGAAAAAAACAAAACAAGGTTTGATAAACACGGTCATCCTCTGCCCCCCCGGCCCGCCAACTCCACCTGTCTCCATTTGGTTAACTCTTCTACTCCTTCCGCCTAAAATGTACATGTTGTTTGTGGCACTCAGCATTAGAGATTCCTTTCACCATTTCTTGCTATACATAGCTAAAACCATAGCTTGTATTTTATCTGTATTTTTTTTTAAGATTTATATATGCACACAAGAACAGGGGTACAGGCCAGAGGTTCTGGGGATGAGAGGATTCACCAGTGACAATGTGGAGCAGAACAGGCAGATGGACTGCTGAGGGAAGCACTGGGTGGGTCAGGAGAGGTCTGCTGCCCCACAGTGTGTGCTTTAACCCACTGCACCACCCGGAGGACCTGTCAGTAATGTTTTTAAACTGCCAGTAACAACATAGCTGAAACAAAAGGGTACTCTCTTTCACATCACAAAATCTCCTGGTCAGAGCAAATGATTCTCTGGCCATTTTGTTTATAGTTGTAGCAAAGCTGCCACAGCTCCAGACTCTACATCCAAAGTAACAGGAAGAGACAGTTCCAAATCTGTGTCATCTTTTGCTAGGAGAATAAAAAGCTTTGTCAGAAAATTCCAGTACATTTTTATTTGTATCCTATTGGCCAGAACTGTATAAGCAGCAGAGTGAAAACAAGTAGGTTTTATGTTGGATGAAGGGGAAGAGCTAGGAATGACTGAAGATGATCTGGCCAACAGAATTTCTGATTGGTACAGACATTTGTCATTATAGCTCATCAAATCATTGCATCTTGAACTTAAAAAAAAATTAAACATGAACTTAGAAGTGAACAGGGTAAAATCTGAGTTTTTAAAAAATCTTTAGAAAGAAAATTGGAGCAATTTGTATCAAAACCCTTTTTAAAAACTGATCCATCATTTAAACTAGTAATTTTTCCCTTGGGAAAATAATGAAACAAGTAAGCAAAGTTGTACACACAAAGATGCTTGTTGTAGTTATTTTTATAATATGAAAAAATTGGAAGATTGGGTAAATGATTTTGTAATTCCCAGATGGTGAAAATTATGTAGGTATTAAAAATAACCATGAAAATTTATAGGTACTGTTATGAAAATATTGCCATGGTGTTACTAGATCAAGTGAGGGCACAAAAGAAATCATTACCACCCTTGTGGGCTCTTCTAGGTTGGCAAAAGACACAATCAGATTGATAAAAAAATCAAAATGATGTTTACGAATAACATACCTCTAAGAGAGAACCCAGCATCATGTCATCTCACTCACTTGGCTTCAAATACTATATCCCAATTAGGGAGATTAGAACAAGAATGGGGAAAGAGTGTCTATTTCGAAAAATAGTTTTGGAAGTGCAAGTTGAACTTCCTGTGAACACTACATGGATCTTTGCAGAAGGGCCTGTTTTGGTCACTGCTTGGTCCACCACTTTGTATTGCTTTGTCCACTTTGTATTGCTTACTAGTGTATGAAGATGATTTCTGGCTCTGCTTTTTGTGTACGTGTATCTTAAAACTAAATGCTCTAATTTCTTTTGCCTACATGAATAAGATCAGTCGCCTGTGGTCAGTACCTTTTGTCTGGCCACATTATACTCTGAAGAAAAGTATTGTCCAGAGAAGGGACAGAAGAGTTATCTAAGTATAAATGGTTGGGATAGGTGGTCTCTTGGGGAGCTTTCGGTAAGATTCAGAGCCTTTTTCAGTTTGGAAACAATGTGTTTACTTCTGGCACAGGCAGACTTATACTAGTGCTGTCCTCTAGAGAGTGATCTTCAGGGTGATGGAGGTTCAAACAAGATTAGGTTATTTGCACCTTCTATTAACGATTTCCATTAGTTAGAAAACGTAATGAGTGACTTTCACATTTTTGAGAGTGTTTGAAAAGCACAATTCTAAACCACCTTCGTACTAATTTGCATGGTTCAATTAAGCATATTCATATGAGCGGCATTTGCCAGAGCACCTACACCATGATTGCTGCTCTATGAAGGGGCCTTGAAGCTTCTTGGTGAGTCTAATGTCTACTTCATAGTCCTGTGGGCACACAGCTGCAACTTTTTGCTTTACTTTCTTGGATCCCAATTGGTGTGAAATTTGGAGGGAGGCATTACAAGACCAGAAACTGGAGGTGGGGGGAGGAATGACTGTAACAGTCTTTGAACAAGTTAAAGAAAAGTTGAGTGTCCAGTGTCCCAGACAGGAGGTGGGCCTCACCCCCACCCTCCCTCTTGCTGTAGTACTCTCACTTCTGTAGTCATATTTCTAGGGTTTATTTTGCTTAAATTCTATCAGTTCCTTTTTTCCCCCTTCACATTCCACATGACTGTAATTATCCAGTATTTGTGCCTTTGCCTTCCATTCACTTGTCACACATGTGTCATTATTTTAAGGTTCAGTAATTAACCAGAATACTGTAGTCTGTCAAACGTGCCAAGGCATGCATATTTTATATAGCTTCAATAAATTTTCCAGATAATATCTACTTAGCTATAAAAGTCCTGGAAATGTCAACTTCTGTTTTTTTTTTTTTTTTTTCATGTGTGAATAACTGCAAACCTCTGTATCACCTGTAATGGCTTAGAGTAGTCAAGGAAAAATATCTAGATATCTGCTACATCAATGTCTCTGAGGTCAGCTTCCCAAAAGAAACCCTGGAGAATACCTGTTTTTCCTAATGAGGTGTTAAATTGCCTAGCAGCCAGTGAAGCTGGCTCCCTCAGACAAGCATCAAGATACTGTGGCTGATAGGTGCCTGGCAGTACCTCATGGTGATTGTTAACTCAAAAGTTATATCAAACGATTATGCAAACATGCTCTGCCTTCCCAGCTAGGTAGACATTTTAATAATCTTCTCTGTTAATTTGCAACTATAAACCCACCACTTGTTATTCCTTTCATTTGAAAAAAAAAAAAAAAACGCCATTTCCTTGTCTAAGAGCTAAAGTGACATGAACTTTGTTTGGCTGTGGCCTTGTGGTTCTAGAAATGTGATCGTGTTAGCAATCATCAGAAAGCACAGGCCTCTAAGTCACGGGGTTGAGGCCCAGCCAAGCCCACAGTGACAAGGTTAGGGTTGAAGGTCATCTTTTAAATATGAAATGGCTATTTAGTATGGTGGCTACACAAAGACACCTGGCTGTCAGTGCCATGTTATCCTAACTGGTCACTAAAAGTTAGGAAATAGTTTGCTAGGATGCTGGGGAGAGGGGCCTGTTTTTGAGTAGGGCATATGAGCATCTTGCTAGCTACTACATTTATTGCTGAATAGAAGACTGGCTCTGGAGCACTAATTGTACAGACACACTTTTGTGAATCACTTATCCTAAGAAAGTCAGAGCAGAGTTGGAAGGGAAAGTGCCAGGAAGAAGCCACCTAGGTTAGCAGAAGCAAGACTAGCCTAGGGAGTGCAGAAGCAAGCCACCATGCCATAACAAACTCTCAGGATGCTTGTCAGAGCTGTTTGACTCACTGCAACTGGGTAATTTTTCTCATCTCTTGTGCTTCAGGATGAAACCTCCAACTTTAAATGCATAGGGTTTTGGCCTCATTTTCTAAGTCATTAAATTCAGCATAGAAATGTTGCCATCAAAGAATCAGAAAATTTAGCATAAGAAATGTTACCAAATTCAAATGAAGTTCAGCAATCTTTTCCCAGTCAATACCTGAAACTGCAGATAGCACCAGAAACTGTTGATATGTATATCTACTATCAAGTAGAATTTATAAACTAGGCACAGTAAAAGATTAACAACAGCAATAAAACAATTACAACATATATCATAATGAAAGTTATGTGAACAGGAGCTCTTTAACTATACCATATGTGGAACTTTTGGACCAAGGTTGGCTGTGGTTCCCTGGATAAAGCCTTCACAGGAGGTGGGACTACTGTGTTGTTGAGCCCAGAGCAAGTCAGGGCTAATTAGGCAGCTTCCGGGACAATACAGGCAGGGATTGCAGGTTCAAGAGGCTTCTGAGACAGGGTAGAGAAATTCAGGAGGGCTGGTGAGGCAATACATTTTAAGGCTAAAATGTAGACTAATTGGTACTGTAAGTGGTATAATTCAAAATAAAAAAAAATTTTCTATATGATTTAACAGGAGAGGGGAAAAGAGGAATTATAAGGTAAGAACTGGGAAATGGGCACATTTGCCTGGAGTAGAGCTAATCACAAAATAGGATGGTGAGATTTTAGAATAGAGAAAAAAGAAAAAATGTCCCCTAGACACGGGCCCATAATGGTGTCTTTTGCCCTGCTGTCTTGGAGTCTTTGCTTTAGTTCTTTTTCCTGTTTTCTTGAATAAGGTTTTCTTCTTTCTGCTTATCTAAAAAGTCTGCAAATTTCTTTTACGGCTTTGTGGG